TTTTACCGAGCCTACGGGCTTGGAATACCCACTTTAAACCAGCCTTGTGCCACATTTTATCCTCGTGGGTGGATAGATAAATACAGGAATTGTAGCTGGAAAAATCACTGTCACCTTTTTTTTTTCCCCAAATTTCACAGGAAACCACAGACATTGCTTTATATAGAAATATGCACAGAGTGTTTCAAACATTTGACATGCAACTTAAAATGAATATATAACTGTCAACAGTATGTGGAGACATGGCATTTCAGTTTATGCCATGTCACCTATGTATGAAGATACAGCAGTCAACTTGTTAAACCAGTTCTGAAATATATATGTAGTACATATCACCTGGGAAATGATCCAAAAATGACAAATGTCTGCTTGTGAGACCACTCTGACAAATATCTGGCAGGGAGCAGTTGTAGACATAAATCAGAAAAAGTAAAGAATATGCCAATATAAAAATGATTCTTCTAATGTATAAAAAAATCATGCAATAATATGTTGAATTCAGTTTTATTACTAACACTCACTGCATTGTGCTAGATTTTTCTTGTCAGAATCTGTCTTATACATTTACAAATCTACCATTCATCTATGCATTAAATATTTCTGCTACATCTGGTCTGGTCCTTCTACGTATTTAGAGATTCTTGATAAAATACAAAGAATCTGCAATGTTATTGGTCCTGACCTGGCATCTTGACTACAGACATTTTCCAACTTCCATAACATAGCTTTCCTGTGCCTTTTTTATAAATATTGGCATGGTAATTTTTTTTTAATCATTTTAACCCATGTGGTTGTGTAACCGATGTAATTATTTATATATTTAATATGTATTTATAAATAATTACATCGGTTACTTGCTTATCCAGACGTCTTATGTTACACCTATCTGATCACAGCTCCATTAGAACCCATTTAAACACACATACAAATTTACCAGACTCCATTAGAAACATACTAGTAGAAAACACAAATATATTAACTGCATCCACCTACAAAAAAAGACTAAAAATAATGGAAGCTTTAATAATAAAAAAGAAAAAGCCAACTCTTAACAATATTAACTACGAACAAAGCCACAATGTGCTAACCATATTCGGAAATTAAAAACATCCCTACCACACACTAAGACATACACAGAACTCACAAACTCAATTAAGCTGAAAATCGAATCATCCTTGATAATGGCTAAAGGTATAGCCAAAAGTGCTCGGAAATATAAAACATTTGGACAGTTCTTACACACCCTTTGTCCAGAAAAGAAAGCTCTTGTTCAAATACAAGAAAAATTAAATAAAAAGCTTAACTGTAGTACCTTGTCTGTCGTTTTTAATGAAACATATATATATATATATATATATATATATATTGGTATATACGGAATGAATTCCAATAACCAACAATTACTATTCTTAAAAAGAGTGCTCAATACAAAGTAGAGCAGATATAATTATTTTTTATAAAAATAATTATATATATATATATATATATATATATATATATATATGAAATGATATTATTTGATAATCTGTAAGGATAAATCCAAAGAGAGCACAATGCAAAAACAGATCAAATATATATATATATGTGTGTGTGTGTGTGTGTGTGTGTGTGTGTGTGCATGTAGAATTAATTGCTGATACCCACAACAAGTGGATGGAGAAATTCCCAGAGGCGATGTCTATGAAACTCTGGAGTCAGGATGCTGAGGTAACATCAATCAGCTAAGTGACAAACCTTTTACTTCCATTAATTCTCTCTCTCTCTCTCTCTCTCTCTCTCTCTCTCTCTGTCTCTCTCTGTCTCTCTCTCTCTATATATATATATTTCATCATTATTGCAAATTTCTCAAAATTCAAATAATGCATGTGTGTGCAATTAAATAAAGAACAAGTAGGAAATGTTTATCAATCTAACAGGTTTCATTTTTATTAAAGCTTCATTGGAGAATGATGAGATAGAGAACTAAACATTGTAATGTGTTAGATTGTTAAACGTTTCTTATCTTATCATTCTGTTGGATACAGATCCATATTTCATCTGTAGGTTGGCATCTTGAATCCCACCCTTTTACTGTCAAAATAGTTAATTGTAACTGCCTCTTCTACAACAACAGCCTCTTCTCTCACTCTTCTTGACAGTAGAACTCCCTTCCTCTTACTAGTTTCCCTGATAACTACAAACTTCTAAAATCTGAATATAATGTCAATCAACATCTGATGTCTTGATCCCTGTTCTTCTTTTTATCCGTTTCTCTATCCCCACTATCCCCCGTCTTTTTTCATACTTTCACTCTCTGTAGCCCCTTGCATACTAGTGGCACTCCCACATTGCTCGGGGGGAAATGCCTATAAAAAAAACAAAAAAATATATATATATATATATATATATATATATATATATATATATTCTATTTCAAATGTTATTGTAGTGGATACTCATATTTAAACAGATGCCACATTTTTATTTTTATTATATCTCACACATCTCGCCTGTGGAACTCCCTTCCCTATTCTTGTTTCCCTGAGAGCTATAATCTCCAACTATTCAAATGTAATGTCAATCAACATCTCCAGTTGCCTTGATCTATCCACTATCCTTCTCCTCATCCTTTCTTCTATCGCTCCTATCTGCTCTTGCTCGAAATCTTCTGTAACCCCTTGCATCCTAGTGGCTTCCCGCCTTGCTTAGGGTGAAACACTTAAAAAAAATAAATATATAGATGCTCAGTTTTGTATCTGAAATGTAAACAAAGCAATTTCTGAAGAATAAGTGGATTAATTTTTAATGTGAAATTTTAAGCCTTGCTACAGTCATAGGCTTTTGAGAAAAATAATCTCAGTGAAGATGTTGTGGTTTCCATTAAAACAGAACCTTGCTTAACTGATGTTCTTTGTGGTTGAGTGGTAAAGCACACTGTTTCAAATAGTGATTGACCCTACAAATGAGAACACATTTTCTTTACTAACATTTCTTAAATGTGTCCTTGTTGGCAGATGTAATACACATTAGTTAAAATATAAAATAGAAATGAAGCTTTTGCTCCAAATACAAATACCCAGAGTTTCCACTTTATAACATTTGAAGTAATAAAAATCTCAGATTAAAAAAAATATCCATTAATTCTTCAGAAATATATATATATATATATATATATATATATATATATAAAAAAATTTAATTGAATCTTCTGTGCCTGTCATATTTAATGAAAAGATGTTTTAAAAGAAATGTTGCTGCCTATATATATATATATATATATATATATATATATATATATATATATATGAAGAAATATAGTTTTAAGGTGTGCTATATTTATGGGATAAAGTGCTCAATATCAGAGAAAGAGCGTATGTAGATATAAAAGTGAACATTGAAATCAACACACAGAGGCGACGGGCTGTTTCATGCTAGACATAATAGTCATATATATATATATATATATATATATCTCAATACACCATAAATTGTGGCATATAACTCAATTTCAGGATTTTTAGCTCAGAATTTTGTGTTAGGCCCATACTTACCATATAGGTTGACCCCCAAACATAACGAAGACTATCAGTTACCCGAAACTGTGACCTGAAAGGAAAACTTAACCTAAAATTCACTTGCCATTTGAATGAATTGGCTATCTTTGTGTAGTGGACACTTTTGGTGATGTAGCAGAAACAGATTTTGCTATTTAGACAAACCAGTCTGAAAAATTAATCACCAGTCATTAGTCAGCAGCCAGGTTAGGTTTAAAGCTCCAAGTTCACTACAGCAAATTGCCCTCCAGGACAATGGCCTAGTGGATTAAAGCGTTGGTTCATGAATTTCGTGACTTTTGGTGACATGATGTGAGTTCAATCTGCCTTGGTTCAGACAGTGTGTTCTTGGACATTGTGGAAACAGGCAAGCAATAACTGAGCAGCACTATAAATAAGAACTAGACTATACCCCTAGATGATTATGGGATCACGAGAACAGTCTCCTCCCATAGATTAAATACAATTCAGTTCAGAATTCTATGTAGGTTAGCTAGCTTACAGCACCTGGTATTCACAAACGGTCACCTAGCTAGGTACTGACCAGGTTTGATGTTGCTTAACTTTAGTGAATGTACGAGAACTGGTGTTTCAATGTGATGTGGCTGTAAGCACATTTTGGGTAGTGGGTGGAGCTGAGGACTTTTCAGCACCCCCACAGAAAAAAGGGGCTTCAGGGATTTTGAATAAATTGATCATTCTGATGGACATTTCCTGCTCATATCAAAATTACTTCACCATGAAATAACATCTTTTTCTATTACGTTTTTTTTCCGAGGTAATAACTTTCTGCCTGAAGTGACTAAAGTTCAGTTCAGAATTCTATCTAGGTTAGCTTGGTGAATATACAGAAGGCATAATAGCCGAAACATTATGATAACAACAACAAAGATGAGGACAATAGTCTTAAAGGGTAAATAATGATAGTTGCTTACCCCCAGAAATTTAGACAGAAATTACTCTAAAAATTTGAATATATTTACAAGTGATATTGAGATGCAAGAAAGAACAGGTTTTTGTTTCACTTCTAGTCATAGAGTGTTTATTACTCGGTATCTGCTTATTAAAAGACAATTATTCAAAAATGCATTATCAGATTGGATTTACAGGCAGTTAATATTAACAGAAATGAATATTATAATCCCAAATCATAATGAGGTCTTAGGTTATTTGCTTAGACTTTAGGTAGATTGATTCATTTTCTACAGAGTATCAACCCCTTTTGCAGGTTATTTAAAGCCAGAAAATATTTTTAGACTGTGAGAATTTTTTTTAGAAAATAATGGTTTTAGTGATACAAATTTTACTAATTAACCCATAGCTTAGGGGAGAAGAAGAAGTGAATTTATACCTTTCCCAAGGCTATTTACATATAAGTGAATATAACAAACCCCACTGGCATTGGAACTTAGCTCTCTGATTAACAATTTTGAGCCATTTTCCATTATACCAACCACACATCCATGTTTACAGCACCTGGTATTCACAAACGGTCACCTAGCTAGGTACTGACCAGGCTCGATGTTGCTTAACTTTGGTGAACGTACGGGAACTGCTGTTTCACTGTGATGTGGCTGTAAACACATTTTGGGTAGTGGGTTGAGCTGAGGACTTTTCAGCACCCCCACAGAAAAAAGGGGCTTTGAAAAACTTCAGGGATTTTGAATAAATTGATCATTCTGTTGGACATTTCTTGCTCATATCAAAATTACTTCACCATGAAATAACATCTTTTTCTATTACGTTTTTTTTTCTTTCTTCGAGGTAATAACTTTCTGCCTGAAGTGACTAAAGTTGGCATGCTGCCTTTAAAGCCGGCTCATTGCCAGGAATGTTTTGAGTCTATGTGCATATGTGCAGGGGAGGAGGTATGAGTTGAGGTGACTGCAAGTAATAATTTGCGCACTAAAATTTGTTCACATCATTTTTACAGGTGGTGGGGGAAACAAAATGATTTTCTGGGGAAGTCCTTCACCAATCGCCCCTTGGTAATAGGCTGCTTTTTTTTTGTTTTTTTTTTGTTTTTTGCAGGATCAATGTAAGAAATTTAATGTTATTTTTGGATTGAATCAAATATGTAAAATGCGAAAGAAGTGAATTTTTTTTTTATTTTAATTAAATTTTAATTTCCAGAAAAATACCAAAGACTAAAGAAGTCCTTACTGATAGGTTTTTTTTTTTTTTAAATAATCTCTACATCTTATTTATTATACTTGACTATTACAGAAGAAGAAAAGAGAAGTAAGGTAAGAGGATTCAGATGATAGTTTTATAATTTCACCCAAGTTAGGCAATAAAGCCACTAAGATGCAAGAAGTTACTGAGTGTGAAAGAATATGAGATAAAGAAAATATTATTAAGAGAAAGAACAATAAAAGAACAGAATTTAAGAGGACAGAAGATAATCACGTGATTGGACATTAACTATGTTGTAGCATACCTATGGACGATAATGGGTATGTCCCCATTCCCATAATACAGTAGAAAATACTGTATGTTGGTCTGCAGTTGGAGATTCATTGTGGAATTCACTTGACTCACTTATATCAGTTGACTACTTCTACGCGCTGCTGGCAAATCTTATATGTGTTGTTCTTGTCCTAAATATTATCATTCATTACCAATCTTTGTGTGATTATTTTATTCAATAACCTTCCCTAGGTTACAACAAACTAAAATCCTTGAATCCAAGCTCTATGGAACCTACACTCAGATGAGAGCTATACTTAACATCTCTTGGAGACAACATCTAACTAAATCACAGCTCTATGAACCCATTCCTGATAGTTTTACAATCTTATGTGAATACAGAATGTGCTCTGCAGGACACTGCTGGCAAGCAAAACTAGAACGACTGTTCTGGACACCTAGCGATGGAGTAAGACAGGCTGGTTGCTCAGCAATCACTTTCATTGACAAGCTATGTTATAACAGAGGATGTCACCCTAATGATCTTCTAACCTGGACGCAGGACTGTGATGGTTGGCATGACAGACTCATGAATGTCTGAGATAGCTCAACCAAATATTAAAATAAATATGATCAATGGTTGACATTGCATTTTAATTTTTGAAGATCAAACTTGAATGGAAAATAAGAAGCTGGAAGAGAGTTCCAAAAGGGAGAAGTGAGAGAAGAAACTGTTAGCATAGAACTTATGGTTACATCTAGCCATTTTAACAGTAACATGATGAGGTCTTGTTGCCAATCTAGTAATGAAAGTATTTATTATGAAAGTATTTATAGACAAGGAATAGGAAAGCTACATTATGGCAGTGGGAAAGTGATGCTAAGCCAGGAATTATATCATTGCAGATTCTTATTTGGATTTTATCAGAGATCTCTCTATATACAGTGTAACCCGGATATAAGAGAGTTGTCGGGACTGGAGAAGAAGTCTCTTATATCCGGGTTTCTCTTATATCAGGGTTTGGTCTATTTTATATACATTAACACAGGCTCTAATTTGGGACCAGAGAAAATCTCTCTCATATCCGGGTTTCTCTTATATCCGGGTCTCTTACATCCGGGTTACACTGTATATATATTAGGAGCACCAGATCATATGAATCTGCTTAAAAGTAGGGAATGACATGGTACCATAACACCTTCCTTAGTCCCAATGCTAATCGGTGTCAATGACATTCTAGATAATCACCAATAGGGTTATCCATTGTTATTGAAATTTATCGGAATTTTGTTTGACTAATATAGTATCTGTATCCATGTCTAATCATCTATATACAGCTTAAGCTGAGTTTTGAATTCAGTGTTGTTTTTCACTTAGACTGGTTGCCAATCATGGCTGGAAGGCTCTGTCTACTCTGCTATTTAACCAATAGCTAGGAAAAAAAAGAGAATATTATCTGCAAACTGTGATTGCTACATCATTGAAATTAAATACGAGGTCTGTACAAAAAGTATCAGGATTGTTACTATAATAAGAGAGTTAAAGTATGCAGAGTGAAGCCACTTGGCAAAGATTGACCTTGAATGTTGTCATGCCTTGCCTCACCACACCCCAGAGGTTCTGTCAATGAACATGGCTTGTGCAGCAGATTTTGGCCCATAACAACATTCCTCAGGTCTGGTGACCACCATATTCCCCAGACCTCACCCCCAACCACCATATTCCCAAGATCTCATCCCAACCACCATATTACCCAGATCTCGGCCCCAACCACCATATTACCCAGATCTCGCCCCAACCACCATATTCCCAAGATCTTGCCCCAACCACCATATTCCCAAGATCTCGCCCCCAACCACCATATTACCCAGATCTCGCCCCCAACCACCATATTACCCAGATCTCGCCCCCAACCACCATGTTACCCAGATCCCCAACCACCATATTACCCAATCTCACCCCAACCACCATATTACCCAGATCTCTCACCCCAACCACCATATTCCCAAGATCTCACCCCCAACCACCATATTCCCAAGATCTCACCCCAACCACCATATTCCCAAATCATCCCCAACCACCATATTCCCCAGATCTCATCCCAACCACCATATTCCCAAGATCTAGCCCCCAACCACCATATTCCCAAGATCTCGCCCCCAACCACCATATTACCCAGATCTCATCCCAACCACCATATGCCCCAGATCTCACCCCCAACCACCATATTCCCAAGATCTCACCCCAACCACCATATTCCCCAAATCTCACCCCAACCACCATATTCCCAAGATCTCACCCCTTGAGATTTTTTTCCTCTTCAAAAATCTAATCCCACATTAACAAAACAAGATTTCAAGATGTCGAGGAAATCCAAGGGAATGTGACAAGGCAGCTGCTCAATATTCCCAGAAAGGCATTCCTGGAATGATTCCATCAATGGAAGCAACACTGGATAAAGTGTGTGGCTTTAGAAGGAGATTATTTAAAGGAGATTAAATGCTGAATTGATAATTGTTGTAGTTTTCTTTGTATAGCACCAGTCCCAATACTTTTTGATCAGACCTGATAATAAGCAGTTAACTTTAGTCCACAAAGAAAATATCAGTACTGAAGCAAAAAGACAAGAATTGTCTAATCAGTTAAAATGTCTGTCATAAAGTTGCCTGTTTTTTTTTTCTACAACTGAATCAAATAATTAAATTACAACAATCAAAAAAAAAAATGCATTATCAACACTAAACATGGCCACTGATTGTGGAATTACTGATTTACAAGAAAGTAGTTTTTGAAAGAACAAGAGAACAAAAAAAACTGTTGCCTCCAGCAATAAATTTCTACTGCTTATGTTAATACATACTTGATAACCTTTTTAGTACTTCTAATAATTTCTTTTTATTCTAATTTTTTTTTGCATGGTGAAGAAATATAGCTTTGATTTTCTATTACAAGCAAGGTGATTTGGAATGGCCAAACAGAAAATAAACTTGTGATCATTAGCGGAATGTAATTAATGTTAATTTCTCCAATCCTTCTTTCCACATTATGTGCATCAGAAATTTAAACTGTCCCTTTGTGATTCTAAGGATAAGTGTTTTTTTTGCTTCCATTTTCCTTAAAACTTCCTCGTTGCTCACATGCTCTGTCCATGGTATTCTCAGCCTTCTTCTGTAGAACCACATCTCTGATGCTTGTCTCTTTCTGATTCTAAGGATAAGTGTTCTTTTGGCTTCCATTTTCCTTAAAACTTCCTCATTGCTCACATGCTCTGTCCATGGTATTCTCAGCCTTCTTATGTAGAACCACATCTCTAATGCTTGTCTCTTTCTGATTCTAAGGATAAGTGTTTTTTTGGCTTCCATTTTCCTTAAAACTTCCTCATTGCTCACATGCTCCGTCCATGGTATTCTCAGCCTTCTTCTGTCGAACCACATCTCTGATGCTTGTCTCTTTTTGATTCTAAGGATAAGGGTTCTTTTTGCTTCCATTTTTCTTAAAACTTCCTCATTGCTTACATATTCTGTCCATAGCATTCTCAGCATCCTTCTGTACTGCTTCATGTCTCCACCTTATCACTTTACTCACAGGACATATTGAGGCCAAGAGGGACAGAGAAAAGCACCTAATGAGCTCATGTAAATGGTTGGCAGACAAGAGGTGGGAGGAATGGAGAACAAAACTTTAGATCTACAAACGATGGGAAGTTGTGGGGAGTCTTGATCGCCTGCATTGATGTAGAAGTATTTTGTAGTATTGGACAAAACTACTCCAAGTGCTATATTCAATTTTCTTATCTTTTATACTAAAGGTTTAACTCATCCATACACTGAGGAATTTGAATTGTTTTGGATTTATTAATTTCATATTCTTCATAGTTCGAAAGAAATAAATTAATTCAAGAGAAATATCAGTTCAAAAATAAAGAGAAAAAGAAAGTCAAAGTAAATAAATGGTGGTAACAAAAACCAATTAACAAGAACCATTTACACAAGATTCTGAGTAATCCAAAAAAAAAAAGAAAAAGAAAAAAAGAGATGCTTAGAACACAAGACAATGAAAATAATGAATAGGTAGTATTGTATTTGGATTGGCTTGGGGTAATTTCCCAATTTTTTTTTGTCTTATCACAATTATTCTGCTGTTTATCTTCCAGTCTTTCTTAAGTCTC